AATTTTCTGTAAATTTTGTTTCTTTAGATATTCATCTGATTTCCCCAGAGAAATGTCTTGTCCTTTATACAAGCTGGAGTGATATTGATAAGACACATTTTGCATAGCCATGTTCTTCCTCTTATAATCTCAATTTCTTTAATTTTTCTTTTCATAGTTTATATGTCAAACATTTCCCTGGTTTGTTTGCAAATTCAAAGTAGTTTTTGCTTTACAAAGCTAATTTTTATTTCCATTTCTCTTAGTGAACATAGATACCTCATTGTAAAAGCTTAATTTGTTGAGAAATGCTTATCTTCTCTGGAAATGTCTTTAATTCTTTTTTTTAATCCAAAATAGGTTGTGTTTTCCTTTGCATCTTCTTTTTGAGTTCAGTATTGTATTGTATGAAATAATCTCTGATAAAAGCTTTACTTGCATTCCCCACCATTCTTAAATCAATACCTTTATCTCAATGATTTTCAAATAACTATTTTATTTTTTTATTTATAGCCCTCCATTTGCTCCTTTCTGTAGCAACATTCCAGTATCCACCTAAAAGAACTGAATTTCCTTTTGTAAACCAAACTCACAGGATTATGATTTGAAAAAGTCTTTGGCAATATTTCTGCTTTATAAAGCTTAGTAGCCAAATTATTTGAAATACAAATAAGACCTATTCTTGAAAAGCATCCACGTGTTTCAGAAACTCTGTTGAATTGTTGTTTTTCTATTTCCATATATCAACAATTGTCCATCAGATCAAAGAAAAAATTGAGTAGTTTGTCTCTTGAGTAATTTTCATAATTTTCTCAAAAGTTCTGTCCAGTTTTGGGGAGATTACTAAATTCCAATCCAGCATCAAACATCAATTTTCATAGAAAAAACATTAGTCTCTATATAAGTTCTTTATAGAACAATAAAATACCTTATCCTTATTTGGAGCATAAATGTCCAATATCAAAGCCATAGCCCCAGGCAGACTTCTACCCTAAGAAATATATCATGCTCATCAGCCAATACAAGTTCAAGTTTTATTTAAGGTTTTATATGCAAAACAATTCTTTTATTTTTTTAAGTTGCTGCTGAACTAAATTCCTCCCCCAACTTTTTGCAAATCAAATATTTTATGTCCTTTGTTTCTGATATGTGTCTCTTATAGGCAAACTATGTTTTGTTTTAATTTTTTCAAATTATTTTTTTCTCTTTTGAGAAGCATTTGTTCCATTTATCTTTAGAAAAGTCAGTGCCCATAGCACTGTGTCTTCTGCCTCTCATCTTTTGCTTCTTTGTGAGTAGTCTTTCTATCTTGATTTAAAGTTTGTTTCTTATGCCTTGTTTTTCCTTAAACTGCCCTATCTAGGCCAATGGTGGGAGCATTTTTTGGTCTTCTTTTTCCTAACCATAGCTCCAAGATAACTACTGCTTCTCTTCTTTCTCCTCTCATGTGTCCCTGTGTTCATCCACAGTTTCTCAGTTTTTAATATCTTTCCTAATTTCCTTTTTCTATGCTCCTTGGAATCAACCGTCCATTGCCCCAGGTTCATGTTTCTGATGTCCTTACTAAGATCAATCTGTAAAATTGCAGCTTCTTTATCTTCTGGTTTATTTCCGTCTTCATTTCTCTTAGCATCTGCAAGGGTCTAATTTTCTTTGATTTAACTTTGATTCCTTCACTTATTTCTTTGTTATAATCTGGACTGAGCATTAATATTGATTTAAGATGGTATCCTTTCTGCCAAAATGCCAAACAGATAGATGAAAATCAGGGCTTTTGGTATATGGATACTTTTTCATATGCAAATTGAACCAATTGGCCATGATAATTGGCTTTCTGCATTTTGTATATAAAATAATATAACAAAGATAAAAATGCTAGAAATGAAGTAGATGCTACTAGAAGTTTTGTTACCCTGAATCATAGTGTGATAACCTGATGATCTGGAAGAGACAAGAGGAATTCTCACAATGTAAAATATTTATTTGTACAATGCTGGGCCTGTTTTAAAATCTGTCAGTAAATATAATCAAAGGTTTGAAAAATAAAATCATGCTGACTATTTCAATATACAGATATTATGTTCTCAGCTGTCATTTGAGACTTTTTGCACGCAACACACACACATATACACATTTTATCTGTTTTCAAAGGATAAAGTGGTAAAGTTTTCACTCCAATTGTACTGTTTTCCTGGAAGAGTCAGTAAACCTAGCTTTTTGGGAGTCCTAGTTGTCTATCATTTTGAGGCATGCATGAATTAATATTCCTTTCCAGATTTTCTAATAAAAAGGTACCTTGGTAGTTGTGTCAGCTATGGTTTTGAGATAATGAATCTATTTTGGGTTATATATTGTCTTTAATTTTATGGAATAACATGGATAAAAATTTCATCATTGGAACTTTACAAAAATTAGACTAGTTGGGGCACAGTCTAAGGGTCTGGTATCCTACTGGCTAAAGACAATGCATTAGATTGTGAGTAATGATCTAAATACAATGCTCACACCCAAATGTGTACGTCACTCCATCATGGTCTAGAAAAGCAGACAGCTTCCTATTACCCAACATCCTACAAGACAGATAGCTTATTTTGTACTGGAATTCTGTGGTGAAATAAATATTTTGACTTAGGTTTTAGCTGTTATATTTCTATCCTGTACAGCTTCCCACATTACCAAAGCCATTGGGCAGTCTAAGAAAAAAAATTGAAAACTCAGAAAAATTGCAGTTACACATAGAAAATGCTGTCACCCTAGACTCTGTGAAATGGTATGAATGAAGCAATGTGAGTGTTGAGCAAAAACATCAAGTGACAATCGGTTTACTAACTTAAAGCTTTATTATTAAACAAGATGTTCCCTAAACATTTTACACTTAGAACTTTCTGTAATAATCACAGTGCCTTGAATATGCATGGCCCAAGCTTCAGATTTCTGTGTCATCAGGACTATTGTTTTGTATCTTTTCTCTGTACTAAGGAATATGAATATTGGGATGTTTTTATAAAGCAGTACTGAAGCTTGTGTTACAACTGTATAATGTAGAAATTCTAGATCCTCAAGTTATTTCCTAAAACAGGGTGCATAGCAGTAAAAAAATTTTTACTACCGGTTCTGTGGGCATGGCTTGGTGGGCGTCATAAGGGAAGGATATTGTAAAATCTCCAGTCAGAAGTAGTATTTGCTGGTTCTCCAAATTACTCAAAATTTCCACTACCAGTTCTCTAGAACTGGTCAGAACCTGCTGAATACCACCTCTGGTGCATAGCTATGTGAAAACACTTAGTGTTTTAACAGAGGGATTTTGAGCTATCTTAGCAGCAAGTTGCCCAAACAGTATTAACAGGTTTTAGGCATATGGCTTCCCTTATTGACCTAAATGATTATGCTATGAAGAGAGAGCTTATCATCGCTGGAGAAGTTTAATTGATCACCTGTTTGTATTTGGATTCATTTATCTCCACTATCACATCTTCACCAAAGAGCTAGTCAGGAGCCTCTATGACTAACCCAGATGATCTAGATGGCAATGAGAATGTTAAAGCTGGGGCCCTACACCAGGCTAGTTAGAAGTAGACCACAATGAGCCAAGTGAATACATTTAGGAGTCAGTTAGGTTATTTGACAGAATGAATGGAAAGGACAATACATAGCAAATATTTATGATTGTTATTAATATCTGTCTTGTGATTTTGTTTGATTAAAATATAAACTATACATTTAATGAAGTGTGTTAGAAAGTATCAATAATATCATTCCAAAAATCCAGAATGTGCTAATAGCTTCTTAAATTGCCTTCTAAGTCTTTTGCTTGCAGTGCTAAGGCAGAGCACATCTGTGCTTTTGGAAAAAGTTATATAGCAGCAATAGGAATAGCACTTAGACTTATCTACCTCTTCATAGTGCTTTACAGCCCTCTCTAAGCAGTTTTACAGAATCAGCACCCAACAATCTGGGTTCTTATTTTACTGACCTCGGAAAGATGGAAAGCTGAGTCAACCTTGAGCTGGCAGCTGGCAGTCAGCAGAAGTAGCCTGCAGTACCGCATTCTAATCACTGCACCACCAAAGCTCCTTATACCCCAATTTTCCTGATTTGACTTATTCACTGCCTGTATCCTATGTCTTTATTTTATGTAATATTGCACATATATTTGGTGCAATCTTTTTTACTGTCTTATAAATCTGCTATTGCACAAAGGTTTAATTTATTGATATAATCCTTTTTCTCAGCTAGAAATTAAGTTTTAATTATGTATTTATATGCACCTATCCTTTGCATACTTTCTCTTTCCTTTTTCCCTTTTATTATTAGACTTTGTGCACTCAGGTGTGAGAAAGTATTTAAACTCAGTATATGATAATGTACACTGATGGCATTAAATACTGATTGCCTAAGAAATTGAACTTACTGTTCTTATTCTACAGAAGGAATATATACATTTTCAGAAATCTATATTCCAAGGTCAAATTAGACACAATCCAGCCAGGATGTTTTTCTGTATCAAAATATATGTGTAAGGCATAACCCCCACTCAATATAGATAAAAGCTTTGCTGGGGTTTTGAGTCTTTAAATCAGTTATAAACAAAATGATGCAAAATTGTTTGGAAGTCATATCTACCACAAATGTCATACAGTACTTTTTTAAGAGTTTTTTTTAAGAACATCATTAAAATTATTTTAAAAGTACAATAAATATTCTAACATAGATGGAACGTTATCTTTGTAGAGTTTTATAGAGAGACGTAATTTGAAAAGAAAAAATAATATTTTCCAATTTTAAGAAATATTCTATATAAAAGAATGCATGTTATGGATATGTTGGAAATTTGGAAATATGTAGATAGGGTGTCCAAGCAATCCTTGTTGATCTGCATTAGCATGCTTATGTTTTGCTTTCACATCCTGATGGAGATACTGTTTGAATATTTATTCAGTTTGAAATAAAGTCTTACTTGTATCCAATGGCTTCCTATATTCAAAGTTTTAAAAATAGTTTTCCATTATCTGTTTTTGCAGCTAATTTAGTAGTGGAGGAGCGAACAAGACAGATGAAAATGAAAATGCAGTGGTATAATCAGACAACAGGGTGTGGTTCTAGTCAAGAACTTGAACATGAGCAATATACTAAGGTAAATATCAAAATACGACACTTTGTTTGAAAAGTTGAAGAATTTACATAGATATTAAAAATATGGTATAAAACAAAAATATTGAGGAAGAATACCTGATATCACTCCAAAGATGCTTTTTATTGGTTTAACTTAGGAAGTTATTGATACTATGTTATTATATTATGTTATCATATTATTATGTCATTATTTCATTTGTGAATTTTTTTCAATGAAGAGTACTTCTCAGCTTACTGCAATAACCCTAACTGCAATAAAAATATATGAGATTGGTTACATTTAAATTTATCCTGGTTATTCTGGTTATGGAATATAAAATTATTGCTTTGTTCTCTCTTCCCACCCATCAAAATAATAAAGAACATTACTCATTAATCTTCAAGTTGTGTAAATTAAAATTTAAAAAATTCTTAAAGAGGATTTCTAAAATCATTTTTGTTAAATTGGAAATCTTTCTTAGGATTTGTAACTGAATCAGGCAGATATTCCTCTTTAAAAAAAAAAAAAGCCTTTCTACAAATTGGAAACTTACATTTCAAGTAGTAATACAAGCCTGTGCAGGAAATATGCAAGTGAGCAGCTTAGAAGGAGAAGTGAGCCGGTCAGTCCCTCTTTAAGTCATACTTTTTCCTTCTTCTCCATCATCTCTCACAACTGTTCTCCATGTATAGTGTGACTGTTTATGGCAGGAAGCTTTTACTTATCTACAAAGGCTTCCATAAATAATGGGCTCTTCACATACTATAGCATGAGTTTACAGAAGGAAAGGACTCAATTTGTTATTCACATATTCAGTTGCATAATACTAATGTGTTGACTAAACAGTCATATCAATCATATGCAGTAATTGCTCAGAAAAAAACAGAAGTCACCTTTTTGTTTAAAGTGTGTGATTTTTGCTAGTGATTTTATTATCCAATAATTAGGATTTTCTGTAATAACTTAACTGATTGCTAACAAAAGAAATTGAATCAATTTGTTAAGCACCGCTTTTTTATCTGTCATAGGCAATCTAGACAATAACCCTATCGTGGCATTTATTTTTATAAAATATGCAATTATTTTCAATTTCTTCAAAGATTCCACATCAAAACATTATGGCAAATTATGCATTGATAAATATAATCTGTAGAATCGAGCATTTTCATCATGTATTCAATGTAGCAATGCATGAAGAAGCAGGCACAGTTTGTATGATTATGTTGTGCTGTACCTTTTGTCATTTGCTTTTATATTTTGCTCCCCATCATTCAGAAATACCAATGAACTGGTATTTTTTAGACCTTCTCATTGCTTTTGTTTGTATTAGACAACTTGTCTCAGTCTACATTTTTATAGTTATATGTGAAAGACACTACACTAAGTGTACTCCACTAAGCAGGTTAGGAACTGCTGCAGTGCTGAGAGTTTTGCCTATCTGTGTTAGACTTAAGGGGCGAAGCAGAAAGCATAATGCTTTTTAGTTGTGTCACAAACCCCTGATATAATATCCCCTCTCCTACATCCATATAGCTCCTTTTTTCTTGATATTTAGAAAAACTCTGAACACTATGAATGTTTAGAAGAATTTTTTTAATAAGGTAATGGATATTAAAATATTTAATAATAAATATAATAACAGTGGGAATATGGATTTTAACAGTTTTAACTAAAAACTGTTAAAATTTTATTTTCAATAAATTGGTTCTACTCTGTGATTTTTCTGCTGCAAACCACAATAAATTCTCCACGAGTGTGACCATATAGAAATCTAAGGAATAATTACTAAAAAGATGATTAAATTACAAAAGTGTTTGGAAAGCAAACTATGGGTTTTGGAAGAATAGATATTATTATCTTTCTTTTCCAGAATCTTTCCAGGTATTGATGTCAGGCTGATAGGTCTGTAGTTTCCTGGATCCATTTTTTTTCTTTTTTCAAGATAGAAAAAAATGAATCCAGGAAACCAAAGACCTATCAACCTGACATCAATACCAGGATTCTGGAAAAGACAAATCTGCGAACGCCTCGAGGCAAACAAAGTTATAACCAGAAGCCAACATGGGTTTATCAGAAACAAATCTTTTTTTTTTTAATTTTATTTGAGTTTTCACAAAGAGAAAAAAAATACAAATAAAACATCTTTTTTGAAAGCAGCATAATCCCGGGTTACATTTCTTCGTACAGACACAAATTCAGGTTCATGCTCATTTTTATATTCTATTCCATATCTTATTACTATTTTACATTTTCTGCATAGCTTCTCCACTCTTTTAATTTTCTCAATTTTATTTTAATTATCTCATCTCAGTTCAAATCATTGTATTTATATTTTTTGTCTGTCCTGTTTCAATTATCTATTATCTTTTCTCAAAATTTCTCCTGTAGTTACTGATTGGAGTATGACGCCTTTATATCTTTTCCCTTGTAACATTCAATATAATACATAACTTCCATTCGGATTCTGCTTGGTACATTCTTAAAATACACACTGTATTCTTAAAAAAAGAAGAAATTATAAATGTATATAATTAAAACAACATTCCATTCCAATTCAATTCTATCATTAATATTAATATTCATTAAAGTCTTAACATCTTTAACATTACTTTTCAATTAAATATCATACTTCTATGGGAACAATTATAAGCTTTCCATAGTTAATTCCCCCTCCCCTTCACTTATATTTTATAAAACATTAACTAATTAAAATGTTCCCGTTCCTTCCTAATTCAATTTTCTCATTTATTTTATTTCACTTATTTTATTCACAAACATTTCACTAAATTACACTATTTTATCCCTCATTTTAATCATACGTTGTTTCCAATTTTCTAAAGTTATTTCTATTACTAATATAACAATACAATCTTATGTACCTTTACAGAATTCCTTTTTCAGTTAGATTTTCACCCATTATCTCTAAATAGGTCCTGTTTCTCTATATCTTGCTCCGGTCCTTTGTAACTTCTTTTCCTTTCCTTCTTCCCTCTCTTCTTCTCTCTCCCCTTTTTACCCCTTGTCTCTCTACCTCTATTTCTCTCTTCTGTATTCCCCTTTTCTGTTGCTTTCCAGTATTATACTTATTTTTCGAATTATTTTTCTTTTCTTTGGTTGTTTTTTTAAGTCTTAAATTCTCCATTCTCTTTCCCCCCTTTCCTTTTTCTTCCCCACATAGAATTACTTGTTCATTAAAGATGGCTTCTTCTTTGTCCCAGTTTTCTTGTTTTGCAGTCTTTTCTTGTTGTTTCTCTTGGTTCCAAATCTCCATTTCTAAGAATTGAAAAACGAAGCCAAAAGAACCCTTCTCTTCTTGTGCATCTTCTTTGTACTTTTTAAGTTCCATTTTCAATTCATCCAGAAGTGGTGCCATTGTATAAATTTTTAAACAACTACCCGATTGATTTTAGTCATTCAAATATAATAACCAAGAATCCAAAGATCACCAAATAATCCAAATACACGCAAGCTGTTTCTTTTTTGCTCTTTTTTCTTCACTTTCTCTTCCTGGAGTTACTATTTAGTTGCAAAGTTTCAGTTAAAATGTATCTTTTAGAAATCTTGTTGAAGTTTTACTTTAGATTCTTTTTAATTCCAGGCAGTCTCCTGCCTCTTCCAGATCCTGCCCTTATTCCTTTTCTCTCCCTTCCTACTTATGAAAAAGAAAGTTTTTAATGTCCAGAAATCTTTATTATCCCTTTGGCATTTTGTTTTATTTTCAGCTTAATTGCCTATTGATGCCAAAGCGGATTTTTCCGATTTCTTATTTAAGTCTCTTAGTTGTCAGTATAGGGAAGGAGAGAGAAGGGGAAAAAAAAGCCAAACCTTTCCCTTTTCACTTTCCTTCGCTGCTTCTGACAATTTAACCCGGTCAGTCAAAACTTTCACTTCTTATCTTCCTCCTGCACGTTCTTTTCCGGTTGAGTTCTTCTTTGTGGTGGCCATTTCTGACCACCGCTGCAACCACCTTCGGGAAAGGGAGTAATGGCCAGCTGAGGAGGAGAGATGCGGCTCTCCTCAACCCTACTGGTGGTCTCCCCCCTCTTCACCACCTCTACGGGGTGGCTTAGCCCTCAAACCAGCCGGCTCGGGGCGCTCCAGCGGTGAGCCCAGACAGAAACCGCGCACGATCGCGGATTTCTGTCTGTCGCCGAAGCCCTTCAAACTGGTAGCCCCAGAAACAAATCTTATTGCATTCTCTGACAATGTGACAAAATTAGCGGGTCACAGACATGCTGTGGATATAATTTACTTGGACTTCAGTAAGGTATTTGATAAACTAGATCACAACCAACTACTAAATGAGCCACGGTGGCACAGTGGTTAGAATGCAGTACTGCAGGCTACTTCTGCTGACTGCTGGCTGACTGCAATTTGGCAGATCAAATCTCACTAGGCTCAAGGTTGACTCAGCCTTCAGTCCTTCCGAGCTGGGTAAAATGAGGACCCAGATTGTTGGAGGCAATATGTTGACTCTGTAAACCACTTAGAGAGGACTATAAAAGCATTGTGAAGCGGTATATGAGTCTAAGTGCTATTGCTAAATAAGATTATTAGCCCAGTGCCAAGGTAAGCATTTTCAAGGGCAGAATGGGGGGGGGGACTGTAACATTTGCCTAACTTCATTGAAAGTCGAGATCTGGAAGACTTACCTGTTGTTTGAGTTCACCCAACTGTTTTGGGTCATAGTCTTAATGGTGCTGTAAAGGAAAAGAAATATGAAGCAAAATCATAAGCAGAGTCACAGTCATGTGATTTTTCTTTTAGTGACCACTTTGTTCAAAGCCTGAGTTGCTGGTCACAATTTCATTTTCTAAATAAGGATTACCTGTAAAAGGTCACTTTAGTCTAATACTCCAAACAGATTTCCACTTTGAAGTATTCATGAGAAAGATGAGTTTAATATAAAATACCATATGTACAGTGTGCTTTTGTTCTCATACTTTGCTGGATATTACAATTCCTAAAATTGCCGTATGTAAATCATGCTTTTATAGCTTCATAAATTAATAGTGTCACAAAATATTATCTGATACTTGGTCTATTTCACAGTTACTTGAAAACTATGAATTAACTGTTGCTATGTCAAACTCAAGGTGTCACGGCGGCGTCACGTGCCATATTGGGACTTCCCCCCCTTCACTAAACTGGGCGTGGGTGTGGCCAGTGTGTAACTGATCTGTCCTGTGGGCTGGGAGTTTGACAGCTCTGCTATAAGGGGTAATACCTCCATTCTCAGTATTTGTATCACCTGGTGCAACATTAATATAAACGTTTGTAGCACCATCCAAACATAGCTGTTGGAATTATTTATACTGTCATTATGCAATGTAAAACCAACTTTTAGAGTGGGTGATTATTTACAAAAATCTTTCTGTGATTTTGTTTAACATGTAACACCTTTAATTTTCCACATTTCAGAAAAAAAGACAGTTACTGTGACAGCAGTGCAATGCATTTGAAAGAGGTGCTTCACAATGTTTGCAGGACAAATGAAGCCCTTTACTTTGAATCCTCAAAGTTGTCATTTTTTTTTCCAAATCTTGCACAACTGTTTCAAAATTGTATAGGGCTACCTATCATTTCTTCCCCCAATTCTGAGCCATCTAGCTTGCAAACTGACTTCTCCATTTTTATGGCTTACCGTTTTGTGCAAATACACTATACCAAAATTTTCCCATTGAAGAAAACCAGAAAGTATCACTACAATTTTTTGGAGATCTTTTGGTAGATAGATTCCAGTATACTGCCCGGAGTCACATAGTCTGCAATTTACTTGATTTTTTTATCTTTTACTTGATTTATTTGATTTTTTTTTATCATTACCTGAGTTTTATTTAATCATTTGATGTGGGACAGAGAAAAGACCATTAGAGATTGAAAAGTGGTCCAATACATAATCTAATCTTAATGGAATTATTCAAAGATTGAAATTGTAAAGTGGGAATTTTATTAACAAGGGACAGATGGCAGAAACATCCAAAGCCAGGAGACAAGCCTACAGCCACTGATTCAGGCAGATGGGGATTTTAAGCCTAGAGGGCAAGATTCTAGGAAAATGCTAGCAACAACTTATTTGTATATACAACTTCCTAATTTTGTGAAATATTTTTTTTATAAATTACTTACTGAAGCTTCTTATGTAGCATTCAGAATATAAAGCAGGGAGTTTAATTATAATACTGGGCAAGAAACACTGGTAGATGAATTTTGAAACTGAACATAGCTTAAGGATGATTTGATAAATTTTAGAAGGTTTTTTTTTTTTAGATTTTTCAAATCTATATTTTTATAGTCAGTGTACTACTGCATTTAGATTTTCAACTAGTTGTCCAAACTGATAGGTAGGGTGATTGAATTATTTACTGTTAAATTACTAAAAATATCAATACTTTAAATTTTCAGGTCATTCTGAAATCATTTTCAGGTTATTCTGAAATCATTTTAGCTGGGTTATGCTTTCTGTTCCTTTCATTAAAAGCAGCTAAATAATAGTTTTTAAAGTATCAATTAGAAATCAACAAAATCCATATGTGGACCATGGGCACTGATTGTAGTAAACACCTGTTGGAAATCTAGTTTAGAGTAAAAACTTTGAAGAGATATCATCATCATTTAGCATCTCAGATTGTTACCCTTAAATCATTTTCATATTCCACAGTGTTGCTGTTGTCACCATTTTTTTTAATAACAATTTCATGCTGAACATAAGAATGGCAAAAGTATCTTTGGCTCCTTATCACTATAATGCTGCCTGCTAGTCTTTTTTTTAAAAAAAAGATCTGAGATAATGTGTGCATACAGAATTGTGGTCATCTGCAAATTAATATTTTTTATTTATCCATTTTAAAGTTAATACCATTTTCTTACTGTTTACCTCCTCATACCTGGTCCCCTAAGACTTCATGAAATAGTGTATGTCCTTTTTAAAATACTACATTAATTAAATCAGTAGCAGTACAATTCTCATTGGTGGCCCTCTGAAGTTGTGCTTGTACACCAGTTATTTTTGTTTCTGCATGCGTATCAATGGACCTCACATTGTCTCTTCTCCTCTTCAGTATAATATACAAACCGATCAGTACAGAAGTTGTGATAATGTTTCTGCCAAGTCATCAGATAGTGATGTCAGCGATGTGTCAGCTATTTCCCGCACCAGCAGTGCCTCTCGCCTCAGCAGCACAAGCTTTATGTCAGAGCAATCCGAGCATCCAAGAGGAAGAATCAGGTGAGCTTCAAATCTTTAGGGTAATGTGTTAATATGTCAATTAAAAACCTTACATCTTTTGCCATACAATGTACAGTGATTTGCTAAATGAAACTAAACCCTATATTTTAAATTCACATAATTTTATGAAATAAACAGATTCCTCAACAATAGTAAATATTTGGTGAGATCAGATAAAGGCAGTCACCTCCCTTCGTATAGTAAAGCAGGTTTCAAAAAGTCATTTTAGCATGTGTCATAAATACAGGATAAATCCACAGGATATAGTATAATATCAAAACATATCAAGAGTTCAAAGAAAGTGCAGAAAAAACAACAAATTCTAATTTGCAAAGATCCTTTGAAATGTCAGGAATTTCAAGCAGATGCTGTAACTACCATTCAAGCAAGTTCAATGTAGGTTGAACTTCAGCAATTGAAGTTTTTACATTTGCTGTATGATTTTTTAAATAGTTGTTTAAAAGCAGGGCCACAAAAAGGAACAGTAGAAGATATGGGTGCTCCATCAATGCAAATTTTAAAGAAGAGATTGGATAACCATTTGAATAGAATGTTACAGAGTCTCCTGCTTGAGCAGTATATTTGACTAGAAGACATCAAATGTCCCTTCCAACTCTGTTATTCTGTTCATTAAAAGTCAAAAAGACATATAGATATGATTTACAAACTATAGAAAGTCAAATAAGAATAATAAGTAATGTTAGATTTGTGCTGAAAATAAAACTGATCTTACATCAGTGTAACATATCAGAACCATTATTAACATCAAGGTGATATTTAACAATTAATAGTCACTAATAGTCATCCCTTAAAATTAACAAGAGTTTTTATTTCATCTAAAAAGTCTATCCTTATTTAATGGAGCAATCACGATCAAATAATAGTCTGGATATTTAAGTTGCTTCACGAAATATTTCTTCTGCATCATAACTTTGAAGTTCTTAAAACTGAAGTCTAGGTGTATGGTAATTTCCTGTGAGCAGGGGGGGGATTCCTCCTGGTTGGACCGGTTCTATAGAATCGGTTGTTAAGATTCTGCCCAGTTTGGAGAACCAGCAAAATGCACCACTGGCTGGCCCCTCCCCTCCCTGACCTGCCCATTCACTCTTACCTGGCATGTACACCATCAAACTTGCCTGCTATGTTGCTATTTTCCTCCCCCCCCCAACCATCAGCTGTTTTGCTGTGCCGAGAGATTTAAATTAGCTAGAAAGCAGGAAATAGTTGGATTTCTTGCTTTTTAGCTAATCTAAAAGCAGAGCTGAAGCTTCCTTAGGACTGAAGCTTCTATGTTTCCGTGCAGACTCAGGTAACAGATTGCAGATAGATAGATCTCTAAATGAATCTGTGATTCTGTGAGCAACTCAATCTGCCTGCCTGCTTTACCTGATTTTGGGTAAAAGTTGCTTTTTTAATTAAAAAAAAAACAATATTTACATACATGGTACGTTGTGAGTTAATTTTGTGAGTTTGCTTGCTAGCAAATTTTATGAGTTTGCCTGTAAGCAAATTTTATGTGACAGACTCAGGTAGCAGATTGTAGAAAGATAGATCTCTAAGTGAATCTGTGATTCTATGAGCAACTCAATCTGCCTGCCTGCTTTGCCTGATTTTGGGTAAAAGTTGCTCTTTTTTAATAAAAAAATAAATGTTTACATAAATATTTACAATATTTACATACAAGCCTTGTCCAGCCAGTCACATGACCACCAAGCCACACCCACAACTTAGGCCACGCCCACAGAACCGATTGTTAAGAAAATTAAATCCCATACCTGCCTGTGAGCAACACAGAATCAATTATGGCATTTTGTTGTGGCATGTCATTCAAATATTTATCAAATTTTTAAGGATACTTGACGCCATAACAGTTTTGAGCAGTATAAATCCACAAGAATAAACCAACATGTTCTTAACATAGAACTCATCCATCAGAAGCTTATCATGTAATGTAAACAGGCCTGAGGAAGCACTGGGTTTTAAGAGCTCATTTGAATAAGACGAGGGTAGGAGCCACACAGATGTCTGGAAAGATGCTGTTCACATCAAAGTAGGCTTACTTCTTGGGTCCCATGAGGTTGCATTGTTAACTGATGGGACTCAGAAGATGACAACTCCTTCAGATTAAACAGAATAGACAGGCATCACAGAACACAGACATTAATCAGGCCCTGCACTATGAAGGAGTTTATAATGGATAACCAGCATCTCAAATTGTTCCGAACCTACTGTTAACTAGTGCAAAAGAACATAGTTTTTACATGGGCATATTATGCATGCTCATGACTGCCCCTGTTTTCTGGATTAGCTGCAGCTTCCAAATGACCTTCAAAGGTAGGCCCATGTAGACTACATTGCAGCAAGTGACACACAAAGTGATCAAAGCGAGCCTTCCGGTGATAGGGAGTGACTGTCCTGAAGGTGATAGGGAGTGACTGTTCTGAAGTTGTGCTTCAGAAAGGAGCACAACTGGCATATTTTGAATCTCTACAAAGGCCTGTCTGGACAAAGCTGTCCCCAGCTCCTCAAGCCAGAGCTATAAATCCAGGAAAAAAAACACATAATCTACATTTTCAACTGCTTCAGAATGATCATATATATACTATAAAATAATTTTGGGTTTGCAGACATATGAGTGACTATTTCAGTATCTGATACATCACAGCACATTCTTTCACATAAACAATACATATATGTGATACAGGGCAACTCTTATGGGCAAAACACAACTTGTTTAACTTTCTAGGAAAGTGTGAACCAGATTCCTTCCCCCCCCCCCCCCCCCCCGAAAAAAAAAACCCTTTAATCAACTATTTCCTTTTTCATCTATCCAATTATTTCATTTTGAGGGAAGATGGCATAGAAATATTACTTAAGGAAGGTAAGGAAGAAATATGTAGGATTTCTCTGTTACAACAAATTTCAGACATACAGTATGATCTACCTAGTATTCCATTGTTCTTTTTCCCTCTATAGTAATTTGGGAATCTGAGTTGAAAAAGCAAATTCAGAAGAGTTACAAGCCTCTCTTGGACTAATGCAAAAAAGTATTTTATAGCCTGCAGAAATTTAATTAATATAGACAAATAGTGAAATATCCATTTTATTTTTAGAAACCTATTGAAAGTATAATCCTATGCAAATCTATTCATAAGTATGTCTATCAAGCTTGGTTGGAATTATTCCAAGTAAAGGTGTTGCAATAATGTTCCTGACTTAGCCGTTCTATTTCTTTTTTAAGAGACTAAGCAAGATTTCAATGCATTTCTTGCTATTCAAATAATTTATTTCATACTTCTCAACAATAAGATTTTTAATATTACTATGTGACAGATTTATCCTATCTTAAAATTACAATTCTTAGGTATAAGAATTCTAGTTTAGCAAGTCAAATAGTATTTGCTTCATTTCTATACAAAGAAATGTTTCTGTACAAAACACCATAATAGTTCCTGATAAATTTGGAACTTTTTGAGTTATCTCACTTAAACTATTTGATAGTGACTACATTTTTGAAGAATCCTTCTTTATTTAACATATTAAGTAAACAGCACTGAACAAAGAGTTATAAATTATGAAACTAGAAAGAAAAAATAAAACTTCCCTTTTAACCAGCAAACCTGGCCCTTCTTGCATTTGAGATAGTCTTGAATTAACCATTAAACAAACAAACAAACAAACACATGTGCTTATGGCTCCAAGGAAAGGGTTATTTCTCTTAGCTATCTTTGAGAGGGCAATTAAAAGTAATTTGCAATAAATTTTTGTATTTCTGTTTTTCCCTTACAACAATTTTATTTAAAATACATTAAGAAGTGTTGAAATTTGCATTTTTTTCTATTGCCCTAGTTATAAGTAAAATATTTAGTTCTATTACTTATGGCTGTTTAGTGTGAATTTTTAAAAAAAGGTTAATATGGTTCTTGCCTGGGAGATGGCCAGGAAGAATTCCAAATTTTAAATCTATTTCGTCTTCAACTGTTACTGAGTTTTAATATCTTATCAGTTAAACAATGGAAGGGCCAAAGGGCTCTATTGCTGGGCTGTGCTTAGGACAGCAATTGTTCGCAACCCTGCTTTCAGATAACATGTGATTTTGCAATCAAACATTTTCAGTGGTATATTTCCCCCCCTTCTTTCTTTCATTAAAGTTATACACAAAAGCTAAACATTGCACAATGAGAGACCTGTTAATTTGTTGGAGCCCCCAATCAAGGATCTAAGCACCTTTTTGACTAATAAATTTTCCTAAAAGGCATAAGCTTTTGTAAGCTGCAGCTCATTTTGTCAGATGGATTGGTTAACCTAATGTTTCACAACCTCAGCAACTTCAAATGTGGACTTCAACTCCCAGAATTCCCAGGCCATCCTTTTGAAGAGTTGAAGTCTTGAAATTGCTGAGGTTCAGAAACAGGTTAAGCCAATATAAGATTTGAAAAGGGGTTGAGGCAAGTTGTTGTTGTTGGGGAAATCAAGATTGGCTATGCAGATGGAGGTGACATATGGGACAGATAACAAGTACTTCATAATTCCTTTTTTTCATTTTGAGTTATCTTCATTTAATTTTGCATGCCTGTATGTTGTGACAATGGGAAGATCAAAATCCTTAGAGAACTGCAAAGCTGATGGCAAAAAAGACAGGAGGATTTCATGGGAATTAGATGACAAGACGGGGCACAGTGGGGGAAAAAAGAAAGTGGAAGACAAGAAAAGAAGGCATACTGTTGCTGATGTGAGGTAAAAGCTAGCTTCTTTCCCTTGTGAATGTATACTTGTAACCCAAGATGTCATGATTTCATTAGTTTGGAAGCATGACATATGTTTTAACTGATGTTTATGCATTGCTTGGTTGCTATAGTAAATAATCAAAAAAATCATTAAAAAAAATGAAACATCTCATAGCTCTTTTTTCCCTCCCCATCGCAGGAACTCAAAATTTTATGGTCACACATTCAATAATGAATGATATCCTCCATTTTATTTCACTCGAAATTTGTGGT